ACTTTCATATGTATTAAGCACCCTAAGCAGTCAGCTAGTGTGATTATTAATACTTCTTGAGTAAGGACTTGCTACTAGGTTTTGTTTTGTTTAGCCCTAGGCTAACCAAAGAAGCATAGTAGAAAACACCACATGTTTTCTTAGCTCTGTGGAGCTCTTGCCTTACTGGAGGTCAGATGGGCTCCATCTGAGCTGTGCCCTCTCTCTGGTCCAGTGCAGGGCCTCAGATTTATGGGCTTTATTTCTTTTCTCCTTCTGAAATCAGCTACCCTGTCCCATTTGCAGGACCCTACTTTGTTCTGTCTCTGATTTAAGTCAAGTTCTCATGGCTTGAAGGTTATTATCTCTCAGGAAACCTTGACATTACGACAGAAAACCGAAAACACAAAACTACTTTTTTGGTAGAGTAAAATGAAAAGGACTTTCCCCCAGGAATCAAAACAAACTCATTCTCACATGCCTTTCCCTCTTATTTTAGTTTCCCTAGAGTCAAGATGTCACCGCTTCAATAGTACTTGCCCGGAGCCACTGAAATTTCTACTGAACAACTTATGTGGACTCCTTGATGTTCCAAACTCCGGGTTAACTTGTTTTTGCCTTTCAATGGGAGAAGCTTCTCAACGGTCTCTGAACTCAGATGAACCTTTGCGCTGAAGGGTTAGACGGCATGAACTTGGCTGAAGCAAATATTTCAAAGCGCCTTTCTCTCACTCCCTGTTGGAATGTATATGAAGGAGATAACTGGACAAGTGTACTGCGAATATACACCAGGGTGTTAATTGCATTTTTTTGTGTATAAAAAAAAAATCAGGATATCCTTATCCAGTGTAGGACTAGGCAAACATCAGAGGAATGATGCAAATTTACATTTGAAGAAATAGAAAGGTAGCTGGATATATTGTTACATGTAAAAAGTTTAAAAAGCAGGTTACAAATTAAGTTAAAAGTCTTGAGATTTCACACACCAGTATGCAGATGATAGTTTTACTGGGTGATAAAATTAGACCTATATTACCTACAACTTACATTGTTCCTATGTGGCTACTTAGTTTTACCTGCAAATTAATTAAGATAAAATAAAATCCAAAAGTCAGTTTTGGGGAAGAAGATCTGAGGAAGATCCGGGGAGGGGGAGTTAAAATGACTAAGATTCAATAAGCATATGTACCAGTTCCCCAAGATGAATGCTTTATGTATTGAAAACACATGCTAATAAAAAAATGAACCAAAAACAAAAAAGAGAAAAATATAAGCAATTAAAAAATTCTGTCTCTTACTTGCCCTGATCACATTTCAGGGCCCCAGGACCCACAGGTACATAGTGGCTGTTGTAATAGGTGTGGGGCATTTCCTTCATTGCAGACAGATCAATTGAGCAGAATTGTTTCAGATGATGCATACTTACTTTTTGCTCTTTTTTTGTCTCTAACTTTTTATTAGGGTGATAAATTACTTTTATAATCAAAATATCAATGTAATTATTTTCACCTGAGCAAGCTTCTGTGCTCTCAAAATAAATTTAGACCGAAGGAAACCCATGACAGGGTTTACTTCACCTGTCAGCATTCGTCATACGCGAACCTCTACATTGAAGCTACTGAGCTTTTTCTCTTTGAGTGAAGAGCTTCTTTGAAATTTGTTCATTCTAGCTTTCTAAAATATCAGAATTATTCAGTTACTCAAAAGGTCTGTTACTATAGTCTCATAATTTGTAGAAAGAACTCACGTGGTGCTATAGTTTGGATCTGAAATGTCCCCTAATCGCTTATGTGTTAAAGATTTAGTCCCCACTTGGAACTGCTGAGAGGTGGAAGAAACCTGAAGATCTGGAGCCTGGAGAGAAGTCTTCTGGTCCGTGTGGGTGTATTTTATAAAAGAATATTAGAACCTCTGCCTCTCTCTCTCTCTCTCTCTCTCTCTCTCTCTCTCTAGCTAAACCACCACGAGGTACAGGCTGGCTCTTCCACATACATTCTGTGATTTTGTGCTTTCTCACCACAAGTCCCGAAATAAGCTGGCCATCTGATTATGGACTGAAACATCCAAAACTGTGAGCCAAAATAACCTTTTTCATTTTGTAAGTTGATTATTTCAGGTATTTGTTACACTAATGGGAAGCTAACACATTTGGCAATCTCTGATGACCGTCCTTTATGTTTTTGTGCACTGGAGAATGGCCAGTGGAATAGGGGAAATGGTAGTTGAGCCATGTTTTAGATACTTTAGGACATTTATCAAACATCATATTCTAAATTAGACGCTACAGTATTGGAGGGACATGGACCAGACCCTGTCTGTCTGTCTGTCTGTCTATCATCATCATCTACCCTTGCTATCTATTTACCTATCTGGAATATTCTCCCCATTCTTCAGGGATTTCAGGATGTGAATCGTGTCTTCATCCAGTGTAACTGTGATGTGTCCAGCCCATTGATTGCTTGGCAGCCATTTTGGTTATTGCATTGGTGAGGTATTGCAGTGCTTACATTCATGTAACCCTTATTTCACTTGTTAAAGGCCCCAAATGCAAGTGGGATGATGCTGGCAATTCAGAAAAGGCAAGGAGAAGCCACAAAGTATGTCCTGCCCCAAGGAGGGTGAGAACAGTATGATATGATGTTTAAAGAGACAACACATTCAACTTTTATTATGCTATACTTATGTTCTATTCATTATTATTAATTTTAACTTCATACTGTGCCTATTTTAAAATTATGTATCCATACATAGGAAATCCATACATCATAAGAAAAAACAGCACATTTGAGGGTTTAGCATCATCCCTGGTTTCAGGCATCCACTGGGGGTGTTGGAATAGATTCTCCATGGATGCAGTGGAGCCGATATACCTGTCATCTGTCTACCTACTATCTATCTATCTAACTATCAATAAAAAATCACCTATTTATCTACTTATCTATCCTTTATTTTGCCTGCCCATCTGAGTTTTACTTTTAAGAACTAATTTTTATCATTTAAAATTCAAAAACTTTTAAAAAGGTGAATTTGGTTCCCTTAGGAAAAAACCAGATCTTGTAATACTCCATCTAGAGTTTTGCAGGGAAGCTCAGTGGAATCTGAGAAAGAATCTGCGGCTTCAGCTAAGGTGTATGCTTTTGTGTTGACTGAAATGTTACAGCTGCCACCGTTCTCCAGTCTCCTACAGCCTGGCCCATGGGCACATTCATGAGTCTGCCCTCTACTTGAAGGATGGCCAGTGCTGTTTGGGTAGATGTGGAATTGCCAAGGAGCTAAATGATCTGACACAAGAGAAATCAGGTGTCAATAATCCTGTCCAACCTCAATTTGGATTAATCAATACCTCACCCCCGTGTCTACAAACTTCTATCAAATGTTGTGATACTCTCTGTGGACAGAAATTGGGTTTGTTGTTGCTGTACTACATAGTGTACATTATAAAGGATATTAGTTAAACCTGAATGCACAAGAAGCCCTGAGCCCAATGTCAGAACTGCCCTCAACAGTATGACACACAATCAAGGGACTTTAATTTCAAGGAACCCATTTCTTATCCAATTCTGTACTTTTTGAAATCAAAGGGGTCATTGACTCTTACTGGGATTTCTAATCAGGTGTGTGTGGAAGCAGGTGGCTCTTCTAAGACACACACGTCTGAAAGGGAGTGAGACCCATATTCATACCGGGCTGCTCAGACGTTGAAAGGCAAGGCAGTTCTGAAGAAGGGGAAACGTTTTGTGCGATCATGTTCAGAGAAGTCAGTTGACTCTTCCCAAGTAATGACTACAGGATGATACTGGTCTACTCTCTTAGGTTCAGCATTTTTTTTTTTTTTTTGGTACCGGAGATGGAACTCAGGTCTTTGGGCTTGCACAGCAAGTGACGAAACCACTGAGCTAAATTCCCGGCCCTTCAGCATTTGTTTTTGTGGCCGTTTCAACCCACTGCTACTTTCTGAAAGTTATAATTTATTGGACGTGGTTCATTCTTCATCCATGCAAATATAAAGCAACATAGGACCTGTTGTAGAGAACATGTGTGAGCAAGGTAAGGCAAAAAATATCCACAAAAATGTTTTAAGTGGAGTGTAGAACATCTTGGGTATATCCATTTCTCTTTACGTTTGTATCTCAGTAACTGAAAAGCCCAAGCTGCTTTGTTTTATAAATAATTCCTATGGCCCCGTGGATATAATTCTACTTTAACTGAAGATTAATTTGATTAACTGGGGAAAGCTGCCGTACAAATAGAGGCAAGACAATTGCGGTGTGAACAGCCCCTCCAGGACTGGAAACACAACCCTTTTAGGGGAGCCGCCGATTAACATTTTGGAGACTCTTTTTCCCTTTTTTTTGCAGCCACGGGGATGGAAGCCAGGGTTTCTGCTGTGAGCAACATCTCCAGCCCTTTTTTGTTTTGACACAGCGACTCCCTAGGTTGCTCAGGCAGGCTGCGGGAACTTTGATCCTTCTGCCTCAGTCTTCCAGAGCACTGCGATTACACGCATCCTTTTCTAACAGCTAAATACATCTCTCGTTTTGAGTAGAGAAATCGAATCGTCTTTTGGAATATTTCCGAGAAATTTCAAGCAAACCAGCATGACTGACTTCATTTGAGAAATGGAAAAATCCAGACCCGAACCGAACCGAACCGAGCCAACACAACGCTGAGGCACGGAGGGAGCGCGGGCTCGGGCACCCGGCCGGGCCCCGGCAGCTCAGCGGGGCGCCGCGGGAGGCGGGCTGCAAACTTCGGGCGGAGGCGGCTCCGGGCCGGCCGTGCGCAGGGTCCCGGCTCGCGGGCGGCAGGCGGGGCCCAGGAGCGGCTAACGGGAGGACGGGAGACGGGGCTCGCTCCGCAGCTTCCCGGGGCGCCACGGGCGGCTGCTGGCTTCGCAGGGATTCGCGCCCCCCCCCCCCCCCCCCCGCGCGCACTGCTGCACCCGCGCCACAGGCTCCGTCCTCTCGCCAGCCCGGGACCCAGCGGACGGCGGAGGCGGAGGACGAGGTAGGCGTGGCGCGGGAGCCGGGACCCGCGAACTCGGGACGGGCGGGGACCCCGGAGCCCCGCTGCCTCGGCCTCCGCAGCGCAGAGCCGGACCTGCGGCGGGACCTCCCAGGAGCCCGGGGCGACGGCCAGGTAGGGGCTGCACCTGGGGAGCTCGAGTCCCGGCGGGAGGGCGGGCTGGGTCGAGCCTGGGAGCCCGCGTGGACCCGCTCCCCCACGGGCCGGTGGGGGTCCCCACTCCGCTCTCACCGAATCCCCTTCCCGCAGACGAGGCTGGACCATTTCCTTGGCCCTTCGTAGACGCGGGGATTTGCCGAACAAGAGTTCCTGCTTCTCCCGCTTCACATTAAAGTGTAAGTTCACCTGGGCTCTCCCGTCGCCCAGGATAGGAGTTCAGGAGAATCGGCCTTTCCGCAGGAGGGCTCGCCCCTCCGGGGATGCAGGAGAGCAGGGAGAGGGCGGGAGGCGCCACAGGACTTTTACAGCATGGACGCACCAGGGCCAGGCCAGACCCCCAGGCAGGCACCTCAGGCTCCTGCTCAGGCCACATGGGCCCCTGCATGCTGCACTGATGGATCCATCTCCCAGGAAAGAAGTGAAGGCAACTGAAATGTGTGTGGCGCGATTTCTGGGATTTTCCGTGGGAAAAGATTCCTGGAAGATGTGTTTGATAAGACGGCAGGCTTTACCGGGAAGCCTGGACAATAGGGCTGCGGGGAGAACCGTCAGAAAACTCAGATGTGAATCTGTAGTCAGCGCCTGAGCCAGTCTATTCGAAGTGCTTTGAATCTCTGGGGAAAAAATTAAGAAAAGAAAAAAACCCTGAAACTCATTTCCTAGTCTACAAAGACATGTTTCTCAAACAAAATCTCTAAAAATTCACTTATTCAAAAAAAAATCGTAGCATTCATAGTGCTCCTTAGTTTCTTGAATGTTGTGGAATGTCTTATTTTGCGTTATTTCAAGGGTTTTTCCTAGGTCTGCCTCTCAGTTTCTAAGGTGACAGCTACTCCTCTGTACGGTTTTTCTCTTGCACTTTTCCAAAAGGACTGCGGTGAAAGAGGCAGTCTGCTCCGCGGACCTCCCACCTGGCTGAAGGCTGGGAGTGTGCTTCAGAATAGCCAGTAGCTGTTCCACATGCTCATAGATTATGGAGCAGGAACCATTCCCTCAGAGAAGTTGAACTAAAAAATAGGACTGAAAAGAAATAACAAATCAATGAATCAAATCAACTCCGCTTCCCAATACTGTTCAATATCATTCAATTCCACGGTTGCTCCTAGTGTGGTCTGCTGCATCCTCCAAACACCGGCCTTTGGGGTCTCGGCAATTCTGTTAATGACTTGTCTGGATTGACTAATTGTGCTCCATAAAGTCAGTCACTTTCCTAGTCTAAGGGAAATGGTACAGCCTATTGGATATAACGCCAGGATTTGAATGGTTTGTTTCCATTTTGTCTAATCATTAAGCACAGAGGCCAGTGGAAAAGAAGGTAGAGTCTCTTTGGAGGATTCTATTTGAAGTCCATGCAGAGAGAAGTGGAATATATCAGTATAGCAAACACATGGAAGCTCCTGGGTCCCTTTGGGAAGTGAAGGTTTTTTTGGTGGGAAATGGAGAGGGAGAAAGAATGAGGGAGAGAGAGAGAGAGAGAGAGAGAGAAAGGGGGGGAGGCTGTGTAGGGAAGGAATAGGGAGAGAATAGGCATAGAATATCACATCATAGCAAGGAATCATGCATAGGTGGTTATCTTTAGCAAAGGAGCTGACGTCAATTTTTAGTACAGTTGTTTGCTTTAGCTTCGTATTTGTTTTGCCTAATTATTGAGTGGCTTCAGTGTACTAGACGGTGTGATGGGGGATGAAACAGCAGATGAGAAAGACTCCGTCCTTGTGCTGAGAGATTGCTCATGGTGGGGGAACGAAAGAGCAGTTGCAGTGTGGTGTGCAGTACAGGAAGGGAACGTGGGCTGCTGGGGAAACTGAGGTGCCTCCCAGTTCGGCATGAGGAGGGCAGAGAGGCGAGAGAGCAGCCCGCTCAGTCCCTGGAGACGACGCCGTGTGGCATGGGTGAAAGTTGTCTACTGGGCGTCTGGCGAGGAGAGGCTGGAGGGTGTCAGAGGTGCCGTCCAACCCTGGACACCGTACTGCAGAGCTGGAATTTTCTGTTGTAGGCCAGCGTTACCACCCTGGGTGAGTACAGCGCCTTCAGTGGGAAAGCGGATTAGTGGGATCTGCTGCCAACAGACCACGCAAACCAAATCTATTCAAGAACATAACAGAAGGACTCACATGCAGAGACTTGCTCACACTAATGACAAGCCAAAAGGGGTGTCGGGAGCTCCTCAAAGCTTAGCAAGAAAGGAGGGTCCTAGCTAGCTCTATCTCCAGGGACTGGGAGAGGAGGCAGAGTGACCCAGGACCCGGAAGCAGGAGGCAGAATCCCTCAGGTCTGTCTGGTTCTGGTGGAAGTGGAGCCCCCGAGGAGCTGGGGAGGGAGGCAGCAGAGGCCCAGCCCTTCCTCGTGCTCAGGGAGTGCTTCCCAGACAGAATCCCAGTGACTGGAACTCAGCTCTCCTGTGCTACCCAACAAAGCGGAGCAGGGAAAATGGGGAAAGCAGTGGGGAGCACGCACATCCAGCCAGGCGTCGTCTGTGGGCCGAGTATCCGTGACTCACCAAGCAAGAGCAATAGATGCTGTTGTGATTGATAAACAGACTCAGCATAAGAGGTTCTGAATGAATAGCAGCAGCCTTTGGTGATTATGAATACATTCACCAGGTACTGCTACTAGGGTGATGGACCTGAGTTTTCATCAACTTATAAAAGGAATCTTATAGCTGAAACTGATATATTATTTTAAACAACCTGGAGACACTGGGGAAAAATGACACGGTCAGGTCAGAAAGACCACTTAATGTCACAGTAAACCCTGTCCAGCAAACTGTAAGCACCTTCGAGTAGAGGTACTGTACTGCTGCCTTGCTACCCAGCGCAAGTCCTGGTTCATGACGTAGGTTGTTAAATGCTTGTGCTCACTGCGGTGAATCCATGCTTGGCTTTACCTTTTCATCTGTGAAAGAACAAATGAATGAATGAGTGAATCAATCAATGACAGCAAAGGAGGAAATGAAGTAAGTTATAAGGCTGGTAGAATAATTGTGTTAAAAAATGGAGAAGCACAGAACCCATATGATAAAAACAGGTGAGGAGGGACAGGTGAAGCCCTATGTAAGAGACCAGTCTGAAGGCTCTCATAAATTTGGGGACTAAAAGAGATGACAAAGCCTAGAATAGCTCCTGTTTTTTAAACTTTAGTTGGTTTAAGCAATAAGAATAATATATATATATTGATACCGGTGATTGAACTCAGGACCTTGCGCTTGCAAGGCAGGCACCAGAACAACTGATCTAAATCCCCGGCCCCCATAAGAATAATATTGACTGAGGTAGGTCCTACAGAAAGAGAAAAAACTGGGGGTGGAATGGGAGGCAAATGGGGAAGTTAGGTGCTAAAATGTTATCTTTAGGTCTAGGGTAAGATGGTGTTCAGACTGGGGCATGATTTCATATACTATAGGATTCTGCTGTATGCTACGTGGGCAGTTTATTCCAAATCATTTGAAACAGCAACTCTTCTACACAGGTTAGTTATTTTAATACCAGCTGATAGGGTGGAAAAAATGAGTATGCAACAGGATCTGCTCAGTCTGCCGTATTTTATACTCTCAAAGTTAGGGTACCAGGGACATCCTTGAGTGCTTTTTTTCCCTATATGATTTGTTGCTGTGCATTTATAAATTTCAAACAGTTGAGATAGTAAAAGAAATTTTCCTTTCTTTCCTTAAAATTAATTTGATAAATCTAAAGCAGTTATAAAATATAATATTTATGCTTCTTAAAATGAATGGGATCTGGTGGGTGGCTCTGACATTGGAATTTTTGCTCTACTGTAGGAAAAAACTACATTTTACCATCTTTATACACCTTTTAAAGACTAGGCTTAATTCACCCCTATTTGTGAATAGCCCCTTTAAGACGTACTTCATGAAGATATTGTACTCCGTGCCGAGGGTGGGTGTATTGGCCACAACCCTATTACATTGGTCCCCGGGGGACATTTCTTTTTCCCAGCCTTGTGCATTGCTTATTTCACATTCACTCTTTTTATTTTTAAGTTGTAGATTCTTGTGGTAGTTGTGGTCCAAGTGAAACTGTACTGAAAATGGGCCCTGTGGGTACGGAGGCGGATGAGAACCAGACGGTGGAAGAAGCGAAGGTGGAGCCGATTGGGCTGGGCCACACCACTCCCAGGGGCGAGCTGGCCCCAGACCCCGAGCCTGAGCTCATCGACAGCACCAAGCTGATGGAAGTGCGGGTTGTCCTCATACTGGCCTACTGCTCCATCATCTTGCTGGGTGTCGTTGGCAACTCCTTGGTGATCCACGTGGTGATCAAATTTAAGAACATGCGCACAGTTACCAACTTCTTTATCGCCAACCTGGCTGTGGCGGATCTTTTGGTGAACACTCTGTGCCTACCATTCACTCTCACCTATACCTTAATGGGGGAGTGGAAAATGGGCCCCGTCCTCTGCCACCTGGTGCCCTATGCCCAGGGTCTGGCAGTACAAGTGTCCACCATCACCTTGACAGTAATTGCTCTGGACCGGCACCGGTGCATCGTGTACCACCTGGAGAGCAAGATCTCCAAGCAGAACAGCTTCTTGATTATTGGCTTGGCCTGGGGCATCAGTGCCCTGCTGGCAAGTCCCCTGGCCATCTTCCGGGAATACTCACTGATTGAAATTATTCCGGACTTTGAGATTGTGGCTTGTACTGAGAAGTGGCCAGGTGAAGAGAAGGGCATCTATGGCACCGTCTACAGCCTTTCCTCCTTGTTGGTCCTGTACGTTTTGCCTCTGGGCATCATATCTGTTTCCTATGTCAGGGTCTGGAGCAAGCTGAAGAACCACATCAGCCCTGGGGCTGCGAGTGACCACTACCATCAGCGAAGGCAGAAAACCACCAAAATGCTGGTGTTCGTGGTGGTGGTGTTTGCAGTCAGCTGGCTGCCCCTTCACGCCTTCCAGCTTGCTGTGGACATTGACAGCCAGGTGCTGGACCTGAAGGAGTACAAACTCATCTTCACAGTGTTCCACATCATCGCCATGTGCTCCACCTTTGCCAATCCCCTGCTGTATGGCTGGATGAACAGCAACTACCGAAAAGCTTTCCTCTCGGCCTTCCGCTGCGAGCAGAGGTTGGATGCCATTCGCTCGGAGGTGTCTGTGACGTCCAAGGCTGAAAAGAATGTGGACGTCGTGAAGAACAGTGGCCCCACTGACTCTTTCACCGAGGCTACCCATGTCTAAGGGCATGGTGTGGGACCCTAAGGATGAATGCTGACCGGAGCCCTTGGTCTGCTTGAGGAAGACTCAGGTGTGTGCTGATCCCTCATTTTAAGGATGGAAAGCATCTGAATGGAAGCACAAGCAGTATCACTCCCGGACACTGGCTGGCAGAGCCTAGGCAAAATATTTGTATTCAGACAAGGTGACACAATGGCTTAATTACAGCGGCTTGGATTAGGTTGAATTATGTGTAAAAGCAGAGAGAAATACTTTTGACTTTTCCTAGTGTGAAGGAAACGTGAACAAGGGAGTCACCTTTGTCAGCACTGCTAGCAGCTGGGGTTTGTCCGATAAGCTGACTTTGGGCTCTCCCTGGACCTCGTGGGCTGCCACGTGATTCAGGGCTCTCCCCTTCTCTGGGGCAAACTCTGCTGAAGGCAAACCTCTCTGGGGAGCCCTGGCTCTGCTGGGGGATAGTTTAGTTTTCTTTTTCTTTTTTTTTTTGGTACCGGGGATTGAACTCGGGTCCTTGCGCTTGCGCAGCAGGCGGTGAAACCACTAAGCTAAATCCCCGACCCTCGGTTTTCTTGTTCTTCCCACAGAAGAAATTCTAAAGAGAACGCTATTGGTAACCATCATTACTTTAATGACATCAAGATGACTTCAAGGGAATAAATGGAGATTTGACAGAGGATTAATATTTTGGCAAATCATGGGGGAAATTCATAATAATCTGTGAGTAGTTGTTCTTAAAATCAAATGAATTTGGTGAGAATGTTTTTTTAAACTCAAAATCAAAGGCAGAAAATCTCAGAATTACAAAAAATGTAAATGATTCTTATTTTAAATTATCCTTGCTTTATATGAATGCTATATAATAAATAGATAAGCAACATCGCTAATTGTTACACATTTAAAAATCTGTATGATTTCTGTTATTATTCCTGTGTTGGAGTAGAATTTGAGCTTAAAATAAGTCACATTAGAAAATAATTTTTATGGTATTTTGTAACATTTCGTGGTTGTATGCAATTTTTTGCACTGGTGCACAGCTATACCAGCTTTAGAGTACTCTGCAGTGTTATTTTCTTTTAGAATTCATTTTCCATGGACCCGTTCATGATAAATAAAAATATGATTTCATAAAATGGTCCCATCTGGTAAGGAATATTCAGAGCACTGGATTCAATCCATTTTACAAATGTTCTGTTTCAACCAATTTCACATAAGTTTTCTCTTTTCAAAGTAATTATATTTTTTGGGTAATGTGAATATATACCTAATACCTGTATACCCATAAATAATGGGACATAAAAACTGTATTATTTTTTATTTAATGATTTTATGATTATCATTTTCATTTCAATAGCACCCAACCAAAGATACTTAAAACTCTATTATGCTTAAGAAAAGTGAGATGTTAAAGTAGTTATATTACTTTAGATGTTGTTAAAGAAGTTTCATTGTGATTATATTTCATAAATGTGATAGAATTTGCAAATATATTCCTTACATTTTAGTTAAATTCAACATGACTATTATATTTAATTATCACATTAGTTTTATGAGTTGGAGAGCTTAATTTTATGGATATATTTAATATTTATAGTACAGTTCTTATTAAATTCCTTTCATATTACAAACAAAAAATTGGTCTTGAACTGCAGGTTTGGGATACTGAAAATGAATAAAACAATAGAAATAGGTTTAGTGGAAGACAGATGAATAAATAAAAATGTGTATCTGTAATATATTGAAGAATTCAATTTGTTGTTGGACTCAGCATAACTAAGAAGAAGCCTTTTGTCTTTCACATAGCAGTTACTTTTCTTCAGATGTTAGTAGAAAATTGTAGTTAAGATTTTATCACCCTCAGAGAAGTCTTACACTGTAGGAAATGTATATGCTCCTGTGTCATCAGCTGTGATAGTGAAGTATAGAATATAGGTAATGATTCTGTTAGCATATGTCTGATCAAATTAACTATGTCAGTTCACTGAAAATAATTTTTTATGTACTACTTTTAATGTTGAAATAAAGAGAATTTAGGAAATCAAGAAATTGTGTGAATTTTAGTCTAGCTCTTCTTCCTGCTTGTACCTGAACCCAAGTAAATGGACCTACTTTAGAACTGCAGTTATCATCCATAGTTGGAGAGAATGCTTGATTCTTTATCTTCCAACCAGACATTGCTTTTGAACTTCAAGCCTTGTATCTCTGTCGGCTGACCAAACATGTTAACTTGGGTCTGCCCAGCAGAACAAATCCAGCATGTCTCAAGTAGGACTGCCATTTTAGTACATACCTGCCCTACCCTACCTCCACTCTGTCTCAGTCATGGTTCTAATTTCCCAGAAGCCTTATACTTTGGAGTCACCCTTAACTCACCTGTGTTTTTTCCCAATACCCAACTTATTCTTTCATTTTGTCCTAATTCCTAGAAATTTTGTGAATCAACTCATTTTTCTCTGTCTTCATCATCCAGGTATGATTGTCTCACAGGTCCATTTTATCTTTCATCTGGATTAACAGAGTACTTTCCTATCTTCCTAGCTAGTCTTTCTGTGTCTTGGTATATCCTAAAGCATTCCAACTTTTACCCGGTAGCCAGAGTGATTTTTCAAAAATTCAGATTTTATCAAACCATTCTTCCAGTTTAAACTTGTCAACATCTCCTCATAATTCTCACAATAAATTCAAAATGTTTTATAACTTGAAAGGCCATTAGCTCCTGGACTGTATCTCTATTTTTTTACCCCATGCACATTTGCCTGTCCTCCAATTCTTGCTGACAGATTTCAAGCCTCAGCAGGGCAGGGGACAGAAGCTGTCTGAACCATTGTGGAATTATAGGTACCTGCAGCTCGCATCAGCCACCAAGTTAATACTCAGTAAGTACCAACCAAGGAAACTGAGACTGTTAAAGCTGAGATTTGAGGATCTGCAGAGTTGTAAGTCATACACTTTTCCCGTTTTATTAAACATCTTCCTGGAAAGTAGATTTTAGCTATAAAAGAATCCATAAGAAGCTTATTCAGGATTATCATTTTTTTGAAGGTCACTAAAGGTAGATATTTGCATATATAGAAATGGCTGTATATATAGATTTCATGTGTGGTTCAGTTAAAATTATCTATGACTTTGTCTCCAGGGGAGAATTGAGAAGCCAGTGAAGTATAGTAGTTAGGGTTCAGATAGCTTGAGAAGTCCATGGAAATATCGTTAAAGAATGCAATGAGGAGGGAGTCAGAGGGCTCAAGGTTCATGTTTAGCCAAAAACCATCAGTTAAAATAATTTGCAATAATTCCTGGATCCCATCAGACTTGACCACATGGAGGGATGGAACAGCAAGGTCTAGGGGAACAGAAAATGGAATTTTATGTTCATTGAAGTGATAAGAAAGAGTGAATAACTATTTCTGCCAATTTTTCCAGAAAAATAATCTATTGGAAAGAAAAACTTTCTAATTACGAAGACAACCCCATTTAGACAGTTGTTTCAGTTGTTTTTGTCACAGGTTCATAAAGCCTCACAAATGGACGGCAACAGTTACTAAGCAGGTTATTACCTCAAAAGCTGCACAGAGTTACACAAATCTGGTTTGTATCCAAGATGGGGATTTTATATTTATTTTCTGGTATTTAGTTTAAACGTCTAAAATGAGATGTAGTCAATCCTTGCCTTTAAGGGCCCTTATGAATAATATTTCTAATTGTATTATTAAAATACGATGTAAAATATATGATTATTGTCATAAGCATTACCCTGTGATTTAAAGGACAGGGCTCAATAGCTATTTTTAAGTAGATATAATCAGGAAATTGGCTTGGAATTTTGAAAGTATCATTTTGGAAAGGGGTGGTATTTTTATACCAAACTTATTTCAATGTAAACCTGAGTTTTGTAAACACTCCTAATCATTTGTATTAATGTAGTTGTCATCTGTGTCTCCTCCAAAATTCAGGCAGAAATTTAATGGATGATAGGATAGTGTTAAGGGTGGGGCCTTGAGAGATGATTAGGTGATAGGGCTTCTCCCCTCATGAATGAGACTAAGGCTCTGTAGAACAGGCTTCACACAGCACTTAGCATTTGGCTCTCTTGGCTTCCACCTCCACCACAGAAGGACAAAGTGTTCTTTCTCTCCAGAGGAGGGAACCATAAGGTGCCATCTTGGCATCAGAGATCAGCCCTCATCCAGGTAACTGGATCTGTCGGTGTTTTGATTTTGGACATATCAGCCTCCAGGACTATGCAAATTAACCTCCCTCCCTCCTTCCCTCTCTCCCTCCTTTCCTTCCTTTCCTTCCTTTCCTTCCTTCCTTCCTTCCTTCCTTCCTTCCTTCCTTCCTTCCTTCCTCTGTCTTTCTGTCTTTCTAAATAACCCAGTCCTAACTAGTTTGATACAGCAGACCAAATGTAAGATTCTTACTAAATATACCATAAGAATGTTCTTAAGGAGAGTTACACAACTGCTTTTTCACAGAAAACTCATGGGTCAGGATAAATTATCATCTTAATGTATGGCGATTTGGGGAATAAATCTGCATCCGGGTAGGTTTAAAGCTGAGTCTGGAAGGTTCCTGGAACAACAAAATTGAAAGGAGCATAGTCTTAAACAGGACATAGAATTAAGTGTCAGATCTTGACAGGAAGTACTCATACCAGTGTGGATATTTAATGCTAAGTGAAGTTTTTTGACCAAAATGGAAAATTTTCTGGTATAGATTGTGTATGGTTAGGACATCAACACTCAACCTATTTAGTTTAAGCCACCCCCAAATTCTCACATTTCTCCAGGAGAAGCAAGTGTTATGTTTTAATTATTGATTTTTATATGTAGGAGTTCAATCTTTCAACAAATAATTACATAATAAATTTATAGGGCCTTCATTCCTGTGAAAACTGGTTCTTGCTTTTCACCAGTTGTGGGTGAAGTGTATGTGAGAGTCTTTTACAGAAAGTGCTTATATTCTGTGGAAAGAGAGACATGGAAGGAAAAGAAAGGATGAAGGGAAGATGGCAGAAAACAGTCTGAGGAACTAGGTGAGAAAACCTCCAGTATTTTCCTGTTTGCCTAGACTAGTTTGGTCAAATGGGCAGTGACTAGCTGGAAGAGTCTCTCAGGTTCTGTAGCATTGTTGAAACCCAGGGGAGCTGTATGACTCAGAATCAATCCCCTCTCAACCGATCTATCTTTT